TCTTATGTTGTCTAACATAAATCTTGCCTTTTATGTCAAATTGTTTTGCTAGACGTCTGTTGTCCTGACCTATCTTATGGAGTGATATCTGAGTTTTTGAAATGTGTTTTCGACAAGAAAGAATAACTTGAGTAGGCTTGTAATCGTAGTTGTCAAGCAACGTAATCACAAGATATTTCAGCCACGCCAGGAGGCTGACTCTTAAATGAGCCTTCCCTTGACCGCCCGCAGAATCTCTCTTCGGACTAATTATGATAGTGTTAACTTTTCCGATTGGTTTATGGTGACGTTATAAATTTAATATATATGTCATAGTAAAATTCTACAATAATATCCGTCCTTGAACTCATTTAGTAGCGCACCACGTATTCTTCTGATTTTGTACTTAAAGAAAGCGTCTCCTTGGGTCTTACAAAATTATTTCAGTTTCCAAATAATTATGGACTCAACCTTCAGCTACACCTTCGCCTAGAGTTTCAAAATTTCCTGTCTATGCTGTCCGTGTAAGGCAAATTATGCATCTCTCCATACCTTTGAGAAGACGTTATATATCGATTATTATATTCTGCAATAGATGTGAACCTTGTTGTATACCTCAAAAGGGACATAAATAAATGGACAAATATAACGATAAGTGAAAGGAACTTGAACGGTCTTTAAGAAGCTCATAATCATAAACTTCTTTAAGACCGGAAGATAATGTTTTTTAGATGCGAAATTTGAAACGGTGAAACTTGTTGTCAGATGAGCACAGGAAAGAATATTTGCCTACATATCTTCGCTAAAATATCCCTTTATTTGCAAAGACACCAGAAATCAGTAAAAAATCACATTATTCAGGTTTTCATTTCTACCGAGTGTGGTTTTGCAGACAGCCGGAAAGAAGTCAAATGTAAAATCGGCATTCTCTTATGATTGCAACCGACAGCGCAACGAGCCCCTGTCCCAATGGTTAGGGTGTTGGGCTTCTAACCAACAGATTTCGAATTCGCCTCTGAGGGGTTGTGCACCCCCGAGTTTGGGTGTGACCGGCCAATGACGGCTAATAGGCCAACAATGGCCATCCATGTCTCTCTTCTCCCAATTTTCAACGCATTTTAGAATTTTGCTAATGATTCATGAAGTAGGTTGACTACTCAGATTTCCTAATACGGCCCAACTCACATTCGAAAGTTCACCTCTTTCTTGGCCACAATTTTAATAATTCCTGGTTGATTGATGCGGCTTTTACAGAAAACAGTCAGAATGAGAAATTTTAGCGCGAGTAAGATTTTGTCGCACAGTGACTCAGTATAATATCAAGTAATAAGAATTGTCGAAAGATGAATGTTCTGCTATCCTTAAGACTGCCAGCGTGTCAACCTGTGTTCGAGTTAAAGAGTCCGTCGCCAAAAACCAAGAGAACGATGACAATGTAGTTATAATCATTGCTGAGTTTCCTTGTTCCCAAAATCGACAGACTACGGTCATTCTTGCTTTTGCTGAATGCCGAATGGAGTAAAATAGACGGATTCTGAGAGTTTGGTATTCTGTGCACTGGGTTTAGCTGTGGAAAAACCGAAGAACATCCGAAAAAAATTAAAACCGTATCCTGCAGACCATGAGAATCGGTGTAAGAAGAAACGAGTTGGGAGGAACAAGAGCCCACTTCCAGTATATATGTATACATATGATGTCGGGAGTACGGCATAATAGTCTGATTTATATGAGTGATGGCATAGGGCGCGCAGATCGGATCCCGGAACTCACTCGTCCCGTTATGCCTTTCTTTATTGAGACCGCCAGCAGCCGCCCAGCAACACGTAATATAGGCAGAATAACATTCCCGACAAAGACAACGAGAACTGGAATGACCATTTCTGACTTTCTGGCTGTCATTGGTCAGCCATGAAAAGTCCCGGGTTATGCGACCCCCGAGACTCGGACCCACTGTGTATTAGTTAGAAGTTCAACACCTTAAGCATTGAAGTACGGGCTCATTGTCGAACTGTTTGCGATCGGATCTATCAACAATGGTAGAGAGGCGTAAATCGATCGCGATACGGAACTCGCGCGTTCCGTTGGACCTTGGGACAACCGGTCGCAACCGACAGGATAATGGACCCTTGGCCGAATAGTTAGGACGTTAAACTCCTTTAAACAGTGGGTCGCGAGTTCGAGCCTCGAGGATTGCATGCCCCGGGGTTGAATATAACTGACTGATAACTGCTGACAAGCCAGAAATGACCACTTCAGTCGCCCTTGTTTTTGTCGGTACTGATGCTCCGCTATACGAGAGGGGGGAAATAACAGTTCTACGCGAGTTTTCTTCGAGGGGCGTTGGTGCGTGCACCATAAAACAATATTTGGTCCAGTGAGTTTTGGGACCTATAATTCACGGGCTCCTAAAGAAATCACCACTATTTGCATAAAGGACGCTTTAGCGGGTACCATCAAAGTAACAACGAATACTTTAGGCTCTTGATCAGCCTACCTTGGAAGGTCATTTTTGGAGTATGGTCTTCTTAGGTGAAAGGAATCTTAATTGAGATTGCCGGGACGATTGGAACAGGCAAGAATTGCGTTAAAAGTTCAAAGGCAGCGCTAGAGCACGGCGTGGGAGTACTAGTGCGACTGTTTGGGGAGCACAGTAGGCGGACTAACTCATGAAATGTCACCCGAAATTCCGAAATGCGTTTTCGTTTCGAAAAGATTCATTAAATAGCGTTGTAAAACTAGTCTGCCTGCAACATAATTCTGTAATATTCCAGTCACCTCAGGATGCCGGTTTTCGAATGAACTTCTTTTCGACTGCATGCAAAAACTACACTCTGTGAAAAATGATTACTTATGTAGCATGCATTTTTCTGATTGATTTTCGCTGAGGGATCATATAGGGCTCATATTGTTAACTTTACAAGCCAAATTGGTAAATGCAGAGACAAGGTCTTTTAAACACAGTCAGTACGCGGCATTTAAAAGTCCCGCAATTAGAAACTTTTTAAAACCGAATTATTTCCCTTCTTTGAGTATAAAATTTAAAGAATACGTCATTTTCTACCGAATGAGCTGAAGAATGAATATTTTTACGCACGTTTTTCATGAAATATAATTGGACTCTTAGGGGCATCGGAAATCAATCAGAAAAATGTATGCTACATAAGTAGCTATTTTTTACAGAGTGTAATTTTTGCATGCAGCCGGAAGAAAGTTCATTCGAAAGCCGGCATCATGGGGTAACTGAAATATTATAGGATTGTGTTACATGCTGACAAGCTTTACAACGCTACTTAATGGATCTTTTGGAAACGAAAACGCATTTCGGAATTTCGGTTTGACATTTCATGATTTAGCCCACCTACTGTATTTGTTTCGTCCAATATTGTGGAGGTGGTTTGTTGAGACATCATAATTCTCAATCATATGTTCAAACGATTAGTGCTAAAATACTGCCCTTTATGATCTAATACAGCGGTCGACTTGTGGTGTCTCAACAAAACAGTTGTAACAGACAAAGGAAGAAGAAACAATGGCTAGGAAACAGCCAAAGTAACTCAATCATTGTCCATCCTAGTTGAAAATCTGTGGAGACTATTGCTACACTTGAACTTATAATTCGAGGGCTCAAATGAAGAAGGCCATTCAGCCAGCATGGAATATTTTGAGTGAAACAAAACTTGAAAGTTCAACTAGTACCATGAATAGAAATTACGTCAAAATTCTGGATAGCAGTGGAGGTCCTGCATCTTTTTAGCTTCATCTAGAGTTAGCAGAATGTGAGTGGTTTAGTGAGGACGGGAAATCTCTCTTTAGACTATCCTTATTACGTGATACTGAACCATTTTTGGGAACAGAACACACCCCATCTAAAAGCTGTCGACTGTACTCTCTTCTGCGGAAACCATATCGCTCGGGTAAAATCGTCAATTTCCGACAGAAGCGAACTGGCGAGTTCTAGGAAGCACTTCAAAAGAAGAAGATGCGATCACTGGAACAAGTTTATTGGCCTGACGTTTCGGATTCTCATCCGAATCCATCATCAGAGACAGTGGCAGACAAGCGTAGTGGTGTTACAATGAATGCAGTATTTATATTACGTGACTGTCGTGCAATATTTAACAGCTCTCGCGATCACCGCTGGGGGTCGTAATGAATGAGATGATGGCTTGTCAGTTCCCAACGCACCAATTACGATCCCCAGCGGTGATCACGAGAGCTGTTAATTATAGTACGCAAATGGTCCCACGTAAGCTACGTACTCCAGTCTCTGTGGCTCCATTGTTCTTATCTGCGACTGTCTCCGATGATGGGTTCTAGTGAGAACCGGAACGTCAGGCCAATAAACTTCATGCTTCAGTGATCGCATCTTCCTCCAAAACCGTCAGTATTACAGTCAAAACAGGTGGTCTCATAATTGCGGGAATCAGGCTGTTTTACGTGCGGTGACACGTACCACGCCAAGTGCTTAGCTGATTGGTTGATAGATTCTAGCGCACATTGGGTGTTTTTTAGTGCACTTTTTTATACAACTAACTTTGCTTCACACTTAGACGGTCAAACTCTCCTGAATTCTGTGGTTCGCTTGAAGCACCGATAGTCGACATGAGTCCGCCAGATTGGTGCCAGACCCGGAGAACGAAAAGGCGATGCAGAACACCGACTTTTATCTGATTATCAGAATATGTTGGCGAATTTTGTCCCATGGGACATAGTTGGATTTCGTGTGCTGAACAGACGTTGACACTCAACAGCAGACTCAGTTGTTTTAAACACCACTCTAATGATAAGTCTCTTCTCGCGAGCCCTTACTCCCTCCCAGATTATCATCCGGACGTAATTTAATTCGTTTACCTAAATTAAATACGCCAATCCAGCGTAAAGTGGGAAATATAAAAAGCGATGGATTCTAGAAGGAGAACTCTCAATGCCGAAGATTTTTGGTAAGAACAAAACTATGGTGGGAGGGAGAAAGTACAGTCAGTCAACGTCTTTCGCAACTACGAACTTCCTTCTTCTGCTGTCTAAAAACAGCCGCACTTCCTTCTCTTCTTTAGCGTCCTCTCCTCTCCTTGATTCGCCACAACTGCATCAACGGCCAGCTTGAATACTTTTTCTACATTGTACTGAGTGTTTGCTAGAAGATTGGTATTTAGAAAATATCTTCTGTCAGGAGATCAACCAACCAGAGCACTCAATGTACGCACATGCCCCCATGACCTTGGCCTTGTCCTTGGCCTTCTTGGAGGACACCAATCGCAGGCGAGATCTGCCGGCAGCATCCCTGGCTGCTCCTCTCAGGTCGTCTTTAGTGCCCACCAAGATGACCGGAGTCTCCGGCATCTGCTGCCTAATCTACCTGCATTTTAGAATAGCCTTGCGGACATCCGATTACCTCTTTCAACCAGATGCGTTTGGCGTTCCGTAGGGTGTTCTTGTCGGCTATAGAGAAACAGATCAGGAAGACGTCTTTGCCACGGTAGGAGTGCAGTCGCAGGGTTTTGTGACGGTCCAGTCCTCGAGCGTCAGTGAGATAGAGGTTTATCTGGGTGGAGGGGTGGGGTGGGTCGGAGAGGTGGGAATTTTTATCCTACCTTATTGTCTCCACTTTGCTCTGGCGGCAGTTCCATGTGATAGTCATCAAAAACTGGGATGATGTAGGGATTTGTGAAGCCCTTGCTGGCAAAGCAATGTAGCAGGGTTGTTTTGCCGACTTCGGCGTCGCCAACTACCATCACATGGACCCGAGGAGAAGTCATGACAGGACCGAAAGCCTGGTAATCAAAGTTGATGAATGGAAATGAGAGTAAAATATCAAGCAAGAAGCAAATAACAACGTATGACTGAGGGGGAAACTGTTAGGCTTACAAGTCAGGTTGCTTAAAAGACATCCCTCAAATGTACGAATTGGGCTTTAGGTAGGGTGTATCAGAGACTACCCTCAGTGAATGTCGCCGTTGTCTACTTTTTCACCTCTTCTTGTCACTACATAACATTATAACAAGGATTGCTTTCATATTCAGCGGTTTGTGATCACTGTTACGTCCGGTGCCCGGGAGATAGTGGACGCTGCTTAAGTTACTCCGCCGCCCTCTTTTGGATGTTTGTTCCGTGGGGGTGTCTTATCTGACATGACAGTAGGTTTCGAATCGAAAGTCTTTCAAACAAAATAAAGGATGTAATGTATTACAACAAAAGCAGATCGAGGGATTTTTCAATGATAAATGGCATACACTAATTAAAAGCCTACCACAACAAACCCTAATTTTGGGCAATGACACATGATTTTTAGAAAAGACATTTGTCAGCGTTTGAATACATCCATCGGTGTTTAATATGGAAGTCATGTATAATCTTTCAGGATAAACGCCCACAATAGGATAGAAGCATATTTATGAATGACTTTTATATACCCATAGCAATGTTGCAACAACGAGGACAAGTTAGCCTCAGGAAGAGTTAAAAGTTTTGCTAGTACAAAGACATGTTTCAAAATTTGTGCGAAAATCTCCTTACAAACTGTCGCAGTTGTTGGTCAAAAGTGTATGTGGAGCTAGAACAGCCTAAGCTCTGGATTTGACGCCAACGATATTAGCCTAAAACATTTCTACCTGACTAGAATGTGCGCTTTCAGTAGCACGCGATTAGTCGATTTCTGTTTCTCGTTAACTGATTGGCCCCGTTTTTCGTCAGCGAGTCTAAGATGAATTGAACCAGTAAAATTCAACCAGACAAGCAGTCCCTGCGGAGACAGATGTTTAAAGGAGAACTGGTGACAAAAACACAGAGACAAATTTGCTGTAAGAAAAAATGAACGTTAAGTAGAAATATGCATATCTGATTCCCCGCTTTTTATTTCAGCAACGAAATTCACGTCTGAGAGAGGCAACTTTATCAAGACGGAAACTATGTTCCCTTTGTCAGTGAAGAGTTTTCCTAAAGAAAAGTCGTTTGGGGCCTCCCACAGTATTTGGTGTATCTCTCGAAATAGGAACTAAAGCTCTGAAATGTGTTTTTGATGGAAAAGGATTATTTGAGTGGAGTTGTAATACTGATTAAAGAGCAACCTTGGGCCAAAATTTCTCTGTCACGTTAGGACGTCGACTTTCAAATGAGCTCCTCCTCGGCCGCCTGTAAAAATCAGTCACGAAAAGAGATGAGTACTTTAGTAGTGTGAAGTGTTTCACCGTTTTTAGCGCTTTTCTAAATAAAAATATATCTTGAGGGAAAAATGTGGACAAATCCCGTTTTTATACTCACTTGATGGCAAATTACACCTCCTTAGAATTTAACGCTTAAGGAAAGGTTATCTTTTGGTTTTAAAAAGTTTGTTATAATGAGCTTCTTAATGACTTTTAAAAGTCTATTTATTCAATGTCACATCTGACCATTCACTAGTGCTGCTTTGAAAGCATGCAACGGGGCCCATAACCACTGTCAAACGTTATAATCGCTATATAACTTCTTCCCAGTAGCGCGAAAAGAGGCGTGATTTGCCTTACACGGACAGCAAACGACATGCAGTTTTGAAACTCTAGGCAAAGGTGTAGTTGCAGGTTGAGTTCGTAGTTATACTAAACTGAAATAATTTTTAAAACCCAAAGAGGCCATTTCTTCAAATACTAAATCTGAGGAAGACGTGATGTGCTGCTAAGGGATTGCAAGGAAGGATATTGTTGTAGATCTTTGCTATGACATATATGTTGAATTTATAACGGTGCCCCAACTAAATCGGAAAAGTTAATTCTACGTGATTAGTCCCGTTTTACCGAAGACAGATTCTGCAGGGGATCAAAGAGAGGCTCATTCGAGAGTCGGCGTCTTGGTGTGGCTGAAATACCTCTTGATTGGGTTACATGTCAATCGGTATCACAACACTATTTAAGTAATTCCTTAAAATACATTTCATGAGATACGCTAGGACGAGGGACGTCTTGCGAAATTGCCACTTAGGGCTCATCAACAACACAATTTTCGACGAGGTTTGGTCCTGCAACTCCCCTTGATTGAGACCCTATGATTACCTTCCTAAAACAACTTACGTAGGTGTGATTACGCTGACTTTACGTATATTCCGTATTCGCATCTCCCCTGCGATTTTAATCCAGCGATTGCCTGTGCCTCGGGGGAGGGCATTCTTATACGCCAACCACGGTTCAATCAGGTATCAGTTCACACACGCTTCCCTGCGCGAGCTTCGAGCCCTGCTTGCGCCCTCCTCGATATTTTAATCCAACGAGCGACTAAGAAGACTTGATAATGGCACTGTTCGGACGGTACGGAACTCCGTCGGTTCCATTATAGTGGTTATGTACTGCGAATTGGCACGCGGCTTCTTCTATGGCCTCCCAGTTGTGATTGCGTCCAGCCTAATCCAGTGAGTGGTCAAGTTAGGTATGTTATCCGGAATTGTTTTAGTAAGCTACTCATCTATGATCAGTCAAGTGGGCCTGGAAGTCCAAACCTCGCCCAATTTTCGATAAAAGGCAACCTTCTGCCTATGTCCTGACTCCGTAACTGAATCCTCAATGTTTCTTCTTTAAAAAACCTGTTGTCGTAGAGCTTTCGTTAGGCTGCTAACTCCTGGTCAAGAAATTAGGACGCCGATTGCGGTGGTACTCAACAGAGAATATATCTGCAAAAATGAGATAGTCTTCCTTCAAGGTGACTCAAGCTGCCGGATTCTGTCCCATGCGTAGGGCATATGATGTTTAAACAGCCCAATCGCAATCTCCGATGACAGACCGGCTCAGAGAGTAAACTGTTTCATGGAAGAGGGAGGAGAGAGTGAGGTCGATTCTGGGGGGCTGCGATACCTCAGTATTTCAGAGCATTTCCTCAGAGTAAACAGTCTGAGGCACTTTCAAACTATTACAGTGCGCTAAAAACCACGAACAGGAGTCTGCCAGCTGAACGATAATTCGACCTCCTCTCAGGATGGAGAATCATGCCCAATGGCTCATTCTTAATGTAGCCTCCATCGGACTCCCACTCAGACGGAATTCAAGCCGCCCCTTCTTTCGAAATTCTGGTACACTGTGAGAGACCGGGTCGTGTGTGAGACGCGTAGAGGGGTCGTTCTACCTTGTCAGACACTGCGCCTAATCGCGCCCTTGGTCGTTCTGAGTCAGTTTTGCCATCGGGCCCCAGGTGCGTGGGGATGCGACAGGTGCTGTACAATTCGACAATCATCATAAATAAACTCACGTGCGGGTCACCGTCTTTGCGTCTCCTTTGCTGCGAGGCACATGCTGAGTATCGTCGTTTCCGACAGTCGAATTTATGCACTCAAACAGACCGAAGGCGTCAAGGGATGAAGTCGTAAGATCCGCTGCCACGGCAAGAGGCACCTGAAGTCGTTTATTGGAGTCGCGCAGTTTCCAGCGAAGAAGGTGCACAAAAAATCAGTGGGACGGATCCGGACGCGGGTGGCTGAACACGTTGCAGCAGTGAGGAAGAAATACACCACCTCTCATATCGAGGCTCGCCCAAAGGGGCCGGATCATGTCTTAAGGCTTGATGAAGGCAAAATCCGGGTGAGAGGCGAGAACAGCGATAGCCGCCAGCCGCTCGGGTCACTGCCCCCTGCCCGGCAATCTATCCATAAACACAAAGATCTTGCTTCCTCCTTACCCAGTGCTGAGAATTTGCATGGAAAAACAATTCTTCACGCGGGGAGTGCCTGGCTGAACGACGCCTCCATTGGCAGTACTGGTGAGACGAATTGTCGAAAAGTTGTCATGCCAATTGTCAACACCCTTCCGCAGCCACTCACGACTCCGGTGTGAAGGATCAAACGATCATCACATTAGGTAAGAACGTCCTTGACAGGCGTGGAGCTGGTCATTCTGACAAGTATGTGGTGGGACGGAAAGCGCACCCTACAAATGCTGCACATTTGTGTCTAGTATCCCTATCTGTAACTATCCCTGAAGGTGTGTTCGGTGTGTGTGAATCCGAAATGTCAAACGAATAAAATGTTTGCCGTTGTGATTAATTTCCCTCCCTCGTAACTATGTCACAGAGCTCGCCTTTTCGATTTATTGGTCGGAAAGTAACATTTTGTGGGGTCTTTAAAATTCCGCTTTACTATAGACGGGGAAATTACTTTGCCGGTCAAGGGGGCAGGTTGAAATTAACATACATCCCGGAGCAAGACCCACTCCATTTTGTAAGTAGGAAATGAAACGATCATGGGAAGTAAAAGTTGGTGCTGTGTTAACAGAAGACATTTTTACAAAATCGGGTATTAAGTTCAAACTGTAGTTGCAATAGATAATTATGAATTTGGTATTTTTTATCCTAGTGAAACAAAGCATCACCGTTATAAATGAAAAGAGGTCCCTGGATACCCAGTCTATGCTACATAGATATTCATGAACATTCTTAGATGACAATGTTTTTAAGAGAACCAGTTCTATTTAATATCATACATAAATACGACCTAGATCATTTGGGCCTCAAAAACCTGTTAGGAAATCTGAAATCTGCAACTCGCTTACCACGACAAGACGATGAAAGGTCATCGAAAACTTTCAGAAAGTGGAACGCCAGCTAGCACTTACCTGAGGAGTTCAGTTTGTTAAATGCAATTAGCTGTAAGGTTTTCTACCTGCACAGCGAAATTTGCAGTCGTAGCACTGCGTCCTCTACCTGATTGGCTTTATTCGGATTTCAGTCTCGGTACGAATGCACCTCGTTAAAGAAAGGTGTTTGAGACCTGCTCCTGTCAGTGTGTCAAATGTCATTGGTTGAATTCGACGGCACCGTGACTACTCTTTGTATATCTGTCTTTGATCATAAGTCGTGTTCTTTCGAAAGCCAAATGGGCAATACACGAGAGCAGAAACCCTCCCAGGTAATATAGTTGGCCCTGCGCGGAATTCCGGAAAGGGTAATTATTCCTGTGTCTCAACCGTAGCCCTAATACTGACCCCAAACCCTAACTCCGCTATCACCCTGAGAAGTGGCGCAAGGTTCCTACTTCGGTGTCTTGTCGCTAAAACATAAGTACACTACCAAGGCTCCGCCGTCCGTAAAGGTTCTGTTCCCCAGGTTACACCCGAAGAGAAGAGGTGCACCAATAATCCGAAGATAAAAATGCTTTTAATAGATGTTTTGGCAGATTTTTGAATAATTTATATTAACCCAACCGTGGAAAACTCGGCGCCTCGGTGGGATTTGAACTCACGCAGTAAGAGGAAGGCTTTAGTAAAGCCAACGCTCTAACCACTTGAGCTACGAGGCCCCGCCGGACGACGCGAGTTCAATCGCATTTGGGTCAAGTTCCCAACGAGGCGCCGAGTTTTTCACAATTGGGTCAATATGGATTATTCAAAAATCTGCCAAAACATCTATGAATTACGTGAACCTGGTAGTCATCTGGTGGACTCTAGGTGAATTACTTAGGAAATCCTGCTTGGGCAGTCAACTTACTGTATCAGATTTGGTGGATTCCAGAGGTTGCAGTAGGTCGGGCGGGTAACTTGACCCGAATGTGATTAAACTCGCGTCGTCCGGCGGGGCCCCGTAGCTCAGATGGTTAGAGCGTTGGCTGTACTAAAGCCTTCCCCTTACCGCGTGGGTTCGAATCCCACTGAGGCGCCGAGATTTTCACAGTTGGATCAATATGAAAAATGCCTTTTGAAACGTCCTTGGAGAAAAAACAGTTGCTCTAGATATGGCAGCCGTTATTTTCGCGCCCGACATTCTACCTAAACAATGTCCTACTTGTAGTTTTTGAACGCCAATTTGAATCGCAATTTATTAAGAAAGACTTTAAGAACTCTCCTACAGGTCTTGCGGAGATAGTAGTGGACACTGGCATGACCGAAATGATCTGCAGAATACGGTCATCAATTCCGCTATGGGTCTGCAGACAAACGAAGCCTCGTGAGGAATTATGAATCAGTTGGCCAGCGATAATTAAAATGTTGACTGAAAAGGACTGTTAAGCACTGAATTCCCGTTTCTGGATTACTAGTTTCCCTCAGACGGGGAAATACCAATCTCCGGATTGTGTGATGCCTTTGCGAGTCCAACTTGTACTCAAGTGACGTCGACCAAATATTTTTGTCCTAGTGGTTGAGTAGCTTCCGGGGGAAGGATTTCCAGCCACTTTATGCAAATATGCCATCTTGTTAATAAATGGATGCTAAAAGCCCAGTAACCTCCCCCCTCCCCCTTTACAAGTGGAGTACTGCCCAAACTGCTTTGTTAAGGTGAGTCGGGTCGAAGTATTAATTGAAAGCCTGGTAGGGGACGGAAATATGCACCTCCCCTATTGTGGGTGACCTTGCGTTGGATTCTAGGGGGGTTAGGCCATCCTGAAATTTAATGCAAGACCGCCTGTAATACGAGGGTTAGCATTACTGTCTCTGACCGCTTCTATCACTTCTTCGAAATTCGATCAATCTCGAGTTCATCACATACTTGGCCATGTTGTATAGCAAATATTATCTGTCAATTCTTGTTATAATAAAGCATTAACTCGACTGTGTAGCAGGACCGTTTTCGAAATCTGATGAGTACAAATGACTTGAATGAAATCTTGCAAACTCGAGGTATTACCTTCTTTTAAGTAGTTTGCTTCAGTCCAACCCGGCGCAGACTTCGACATCAAATCGCTAGCCACTGCCAGTACATCTTAGACAACTTCGTATTTTTTACCTGCTGACGTTTTAAAAAGCTCGTAAAATCCATACAAAATAAACCGGAAGGGCTCGATTGGCTCCACAGTCACCCTTCATCTTGACGCACTCCTGTGGTCCGGGACGAATCATATTCATTCCACACACACTTATACCTCATCGACCTTGCACACCTTGGAGACTACTGCCTACTAGGTTTCTTCTAGAAAACACAGTGAACAGCGAATCAACACACGTTGCTCCTGCATAAATCATGCGGCAAAAGTTCTCTGACTCTGTGCATACGCACCTACCCCGGCAGTTCTTCTCTCCCCAGTCACTTCCTACACACCCACTTCCGCACCCAATTAGAACGCGCGGCGAGCGCACATGATAATAATGATGCAAGCGAGCAGTTTTCGCCACGCATTCTCACGCACATCTAGCCTCTGCATTTAGTCATGTTTGCCACCGACAGTCGAAAGGTGGTTGTCGTTGGAGATGCCAACTGCGGCAAGGCGAGCCTTCTGAGCGTCTTTGTCAACGGCAGCTTCCCTGAAGTCAGCAGTGGTGTGTCCTTTGAGGACTGCCATGCCAGTCTGGAAGTGGGGGGCGAAGAGGTAGGCCAGCTTCCCCCCCCCCCCGACACCTCTGGCTGATGCTTTTTTAGGTTCATCTGACCCTCTGGAACACGTCGGGTCAGGAGGACTACCACAGACTGCGACCTCTATCCTATCTGGATGCCGACGTCTACATCATCTGCTTTTCTATTGACAACCGCAGTACTCTGGAGGCGGCTTCAGAGAGATGGGCGAAAGAGGTGAGAAGCATAGACTTGAAATTCCCTTGGACGGCATGGAATTTATTTTCTCCACTCTGAAACGGATATGTCATAATTTACAGCATAAGTGCTGCCTAAAAGCCCAGACACGTGTTTCGTCGATATTCTGCGGACTGCATGACACAGCTGCTAGGGGTTCGGCTCATCAGTGGGTCCCCCAGCGTTCCCCGTGTGCTGTTTTGGTAGATATTCCAGTTTTGAGACTGCGATTTTTTGATTTTCTTAGAAAGTGATCGTTCAACTGGGGGAGATCAGTCTAGCTGAGACTTATACAGTAGGTGGGCTAACTCATGAAATGGCAATTGAAATTCCGAAATGTGTTTTCGTTTCGAAAAGAGCAATTAAGTAGGGTTGTAAAACTAATCAGCATACAGCATAACTTTATAGTAATTCAGTTGTCGCAGGATGTCTGCTTTCGAAAGAACTTCCTTCCAGTTGCATGCGAACTCTACACTTTGTAAAAAATGACTACATATGTGGCATAAATTTTTCTCATTGATTTTCGATGCCTTCAAAAATTAAACTATATTTCTCGAAAAATGTATAAAATATTCATTCTTTCGCTCATTCGGTAGAAAATAACGTCTTTTTTTCTAATTATATGCCCGAAGGGGAGACATATTTCAATTTTAAAAAAGTTTCTTATTGTGGGATCTTTAAATACCGTGAAATAACCGTACATAAAACGTCATATTTCTGCATTTACCAATGTGGTTTGTAAAGTTAACAATATGCATCAAATCAACTGCTAAATTTTATGGATCCTATAGGGTCCCCTTTAGTGCCGTAGAGAAATGTGTGGTTTTCCATACGCGGAAACTATAAGACTTGTAGTTTGGAAACCCCGAATCCAAGTGTAACGGCAGGTCGCGTTCAAAATTATTCAAAAACGGAAAAGTGGTAACAGTCGGCAGATGGCACCCAAAAAAATCCGCCTAAATAAAGCAGCCTGTCTTACGAGACAGGCGGTAATAGGGGTTTTATGGATGGTGGCTGGTCGGGATGTACGACACAAGCCAACGGAATGTCTTATGTGAACAGGTGAATGATCGAAGTTGGCCCGCTCTCCGTTCCGTTATTACAAAATGGGTCGCCAAAGGCAGTATAGTGGTGACGGACGAGATGAAGGCGTATAATCGTCTTCCCTCATAAGGTTATCTACATTTCTCTGTCAACCACTCAAAGAACTTCAAGGACCCTACCACCGGACGGCACACCAATGCCATTGAGGCATACTGGAGTAGACTGAAAACGAAACTCCACGAGGGAGGCCCTGTATATGGTCGAGCTGTGTGAGCTCCCATAGACGAAGTACAGTATCGTCTTTGGTTTGGCCTCAATGCCATGTCTTTGAAAGATGTCTGGGAACTGTTTCTGTCCCATGTTGCGCAGACTTATCCTATTTAAAAGTGATTTTGTTTTGTAATAAACTGCCATAATGCGAATGTATACCGTGTATTAAGGTGCAGGTGTGTAACGATGGAGAAGGTTGGTAACAGCGATCATTGTCCATGTAACCTCCTGCGATGTTCGTTCGGCCAGTCGATATTAGGCCGTCGCGGAAAGTCCAAGGAGTGCGTGAAAGTAGGCCTGCAGCCGCTGATATAGCCTGAAGGCGTTTGAGTCCACTGTTAAAGGTATTATTTCTAGGTAACGGATTTTTTGGGTGCCATCTCCCGATTGTTACCGGAAAAGTTTTGAAAACTGAATAATACCCGTCCTTCGAGTATAAGATTGGAAGAAGACGTAAGTTTCTACCGAATGAGCGAGAGAATGAATATTTTTATGCATATTTTCTATGAAAAAATTGGATTTTTAGGGGCATCAAAAATCAATGAGAAAATTCATGTAAATTATGTAGTCATTTTTGCAGAGTTTAGTTTTTTCATACAGTCGGAAGGAAGTTTTTTCGAAAGCAGGCATCCTGCGCAACTGAATAACTATAAAATTATGCTGCAGGCTGATTAGTTTTACAACCCTACTTAATATATCTTTTCGAAACAAAAAACGCATTTCCGAATTTCGGTTGGCATTTCATGAGTTAGCCCAAATCCTGTAGGGTCAGCCTTAACTAGGTGATCTACACCAAGTTAATGATTCATTTCGAAAGAAATCTAAAAAACGGCAAAAGGTAAACCTTTTCTCCTGAGATGTGATCCAAACCTATGAACCGACACAAGGCTTTTTACTTGACTTGGGGACTCTTTACTAGATATCTGGTGTGATCTTTGTAACCACAGAGAGCAAGAAAGTAACCGTTTAGGTGCTGTAAATCAATTTTTATGCTAAGGCAGGCATATGTTGACTAGCAGGGGATAGGTGGGAACAAGACGTCACATCAGCCAGTGAACACACACTCGATACAGAGTCGATTTCCAGGAATGGATTGCAGGGGGATTTTCGCAAAGCAACAAACCGTTCTGGAAATTTTCTGGGCGCAGTAATCATCTAACAAAATTTTCCCAAAAGCTAAGATTTTATTTGTTCGAACCTACTTGTGTTGAACGACTGCAATTAAAAAAGGTTACTTATCAAGGCTCTAACCAACGGAACCGCAGGACTCCTAGCAAGAACCTTGAGTGTTTTTAAAATTTAAGCTATTTTGCCTGCCTACCCCACTGCAACGCATGGAATCAATCAATTCGGATACAACAGACTGACTACCCAAAAGGGTTTTCCCAAGTAATAAGTTTATAATCCACCAGACGAGTTGAGTAGTTAATTCTGGAAGCAAAAGTATATGTGATAACTACAAACATTCAGTGGTCTCTTTCAAAGGCCTGAAATGCCCTCTTCCCGGCCAGTTCCCCTTCACTGCGGACTGGATTCACTCAGAAGTCGCATTGATTTAGCTTCTGAAAGTTACCCCTCATGTTTCGCTGTTTGCAAACTGACCAGTTATAAACGTAGTATGCCTAAAGGTTTGACTGATATAAGGTAAGAACACGAGTTATTGGTTCCTGCAGGATGGCTTTCCCAACGCGGACAGGGCTAGAGAACCTACTTGTATGCACTAAATGTAGTATGCTGCTGAACAAGGCCCCAGAAACCTGTGATCCCCGGTAGCTTTCTTCAACTACAGATGTCTGAGAAATCCAAAATATTAAGGCGCTCAGTGTGCATCATAATCCAAAGAACCTATACTTTCTTGTTTATGCCGGAGGTGATCTGTCTCGTTGCATCATTAAACTGGCCAGTCGGAATGACGGACAACTTCCTGCAAGTGGATTGGACCGCCTTTTCAACTCAACAGACCGCCATCACCGGGCGTAGCAAAAAGGGTCATGTCTTTTCGAGTGCCGTTCTACAAACTGTTCTACCTGTTAGACGCGCCTTTTATGTAGCCCCACCTGATGGACACAATACTGCTAGGGTTGGGTGTTAGAGTTAGCTGGTTAGGGTTGGGATTAGAGGTTAGAGTTGGGGATTAGGACAACTATTTCTTGACCACGCGAAGTGCGGCCGCGCATTCCAAATAGCTTTTCCTTTGCATATTATTACTTGACCTCATCGCCTGTACGTTCCCCGGCCCCACCTATAAAATAACCTATTACCACCGGTCCGGTATTATATGTGGCTGGGGTTTGTTTACTTCAGATGGGGCTACAGAACCAACTCTGACTACATTAAGTGTCTACAACGATCGCTTCTCAACTATCTGAGCTGAGGTCATTGTAGCTAATCCACCTGACTGTCTACAACGACCGCTTCTCAACACTCTGAGCTGAGATAATTGTAGATAATGCGCCAGGCCGTCTACAACAGACGACCCAACCTTGTATGATGAAACACCAAAACGAAATAATTGTGTCAGATTAAAACTCACCTAAAAAAGTAAAGTAGGTATTTTTTGCATGCCACAGATGCTTGGGGTCCCTCTCCCGATCCTTACCGGGTCATGTCTTTTAGAATGCCGTTCTACAAACTGTCCTGCCTGTTAGATGCGCCTTTCAGAAGGCAGGTGCTTTGTGCCATTTTTCTTTACCGTTTGCGTGGTAGGTTAGGAGACTCTGCCCCCAAGTCCCACTTATTCTCGTGGGAATGAAGAGTGACCTTCGTCATAGCACGGAGAGGCCAAGTGCGCCCGCCCTGGTCAGTGAAGCCGAGGGAAAGGCTACGGCGTCCCACATCGGCGCCTTTGCATACATCGAGTGTTCAGGTGGGTACCCATACTGACTGCGTTAAAGAAATTCTGCGCACTTGAAGAGGGTGAGGATATGACTGTTGAACGGATTTAAATCCTGTAATAATTCAGACAGTTACTGGTCTTTGACGTCACCTGGAGATTCAGTAAAAGTTGGCAAAATATCACGTGCATTAGTTACAACCAGGCCTAGTAGCCGTTTGTAATTTGTGCTTTGATTGATGCACTTTGCATAATCAGATGTGGAGCGAATGACGCATAACGTAGTTACATGATTTGTTCTACAAAACAACTTTCGAGACCTATATTTGGACCTAAAATCTGTGCATTCTAGCCTTAACACTGAAATCATTTGCCTGAACTGCGCGAAAACAATAAGGGATACTGTTATCTCGGCGGCTTGGTCGTAGATCTGGTTTCACTTTGTGCCAACTTCTTTTAGAAAAGTCGGCTCTCATTTTGAAACCTTAAGCCAGGATGAGCTGCCTATTAATTCTTAAGAGTAGGGAAGATGACGACTAGGCCGCTGAGAATTATGATGGCAATGAAGCATTGGGAACAGCGGTAACACGCAATGAAACACCACGTCTCTCAGAGCGACTTGTACGAGACCCGAACCGTATCTTTGACGAGGACTTCTATACTGGTAGCGGACGACATTTATCTAGTAGTCAGCTGGCAAGATAAAGGAACACCCAGGTGTTTAATGCTTCTGCCACGTTACCTGACCAACGTACTGTTTGAGCCCGTCTGTGCATTTATGCTGTCAAGTTACACAGACTTGTCACGTAGTTGCATATGTCTACTCATCTCTAACCAGTAAAATTTGAAACAATCGTAGACGGTGCGACATTCGAATGTCACAAAGTCTCATGTTCCTGCTTCCTGCAAGAATATAGTTACAAACGGTGGAACTGGAGAATTGGAATGTCCATCCCCTATTGGGGGGAACGGTAGGACTAACTTGTGTGGAACCCTAGGCAGGACATAAGAAAAGGAACCGCCTACATCAAGGGCGGCTTTGGATTAACTTCCAGTTAACGTAGGGTTAGATTTAAGGCAAAGGACAGAGTTAAGTTAAGGATTGGGTGTAAGGCCAGATTTAAAGTTAATGGTAACGTAAGCCGAGATTAAGTTTAGGGACAAGTTGGGGGCTAGTTGATAGAAGCGAACAGGCGAGTTCCAGGTAGCAGTTCATAAAACAAAGATGCGATTGCTGGAACAAGAAATTTATTGGCCTGACGTTTCGGATTCTCACTCGAATCCATCATCAGAGGCGTTGGCAGATAAAGGTAATGGTGGCACAAGGAGTGCAGTATTTATATCACGTGGCTGCTGTGGGACTGTATGAGCACTGTAATTTACAGCCCTTACAATCACCGCTGGCATCGTAATTGATGCGATGGTGGCTTGTCAGTCCGAGTCCGAGTCGTTAATGGCCGTGATTTCGTCATCGGTGCTGGATGCTGGTGTGACGATGGCTCGGCAAATTGGCTCACTGTCACTGAGATAATTACTCGCCCGCGCCCTTCCCACGTGACTGATTCCCCTGCACAGGGCAAATCTCAGCACGGAATATGGTACCTGGAGGTCATTGCGCTTGGTAATTGCACTCCTTGTGCCACCAGCACCTTTATCTGCCAATGTCTCTGATGATGGATTCCAGCGAGAATCCGAAACGTCAGGCTAATAAATTTCTTGTTCGACCGATCGCATCTTCGTCTTCTGTGGGGGCTAGTGTCAATTGAAAAGTTATGATTAAGGGTAGGGTTCGGGTCAAGATTAGGACAACGGTTTAGTTTTATGTAAGGATTATTGTTGAGGTTAGGACACGGGAACCTTTTGCCCTTTCCGGAATTATGCGCAGGTGCACCTCAATTATTTGGGCGGGGTATTCGTAATTTAACACCCTATATAGACGTCCACATAGGTCACTCCCTCACTTGCGCTAATTTCTAGGTAAATCAAAGCTACTTTAAGCTGCCATAACTGTGAAAACCCCCGTAAACTTGGAGGGATTCAAACCCACGACAGGCAGGGGAAAGCTTGAATATAGCCAACGCGCTAACCAACTAAGCGACGAGACTCCACTGACAGCTGTTAGTTTAATCCCATTTGGGTATATTAACCGGCTTAACCTAGTGCAACGTATGAAGTTGACCAAATTTGACACAGTAAGCCGATTGCTCAACTAGAAGTCCCTAAGTAATCAATCCAGAATCTACTGGGCTCACTTAATTAATAGGTTAATAGGGTTAAGTCTAAGGTCAGAGTCAGGGTTTGAGCTGGAGTATGACACGGGAATATTTAGAAGACGAAGAAGATGCGGTCACTGGAACAAGAAGATCATTCGTCTGCCGTGCTGCAATACTGCGCGACTCGCCAGCTCTGTGTGAACCGAGGGTTTATATGAAGCACACCTCTGCAACACATTATTGTCGAGACACCTGTGCAGAAACCGAATCTGCGCATATGTAGACGACTCACGAAGGGCAAATGTTTCCCACCGTCAAGCCGATCGGAGCGCATCGCGTCCAAAGGATTGCTGATAGACGCGGGCAGGCGAGTTATAGGAAGCAGTTCAGTTTTCTTTTTCCAGTGATCGCATCTTCTTCTTTTTAACTGCTTCCTGAAACTTGTCTGTTCGCTTCTATCAACGGGAATATTTTCCTTTCTGGTATATTGCGTGATGTCACATGTACTGTCGGGTGGGGGTTCTCACTCCGGTGTCTTACCTTGATAATTGCGTGCAGTCGCCAGTCTCGCCCGGTAGATCGGGGAGATTGACGTTTAGATTCCGTCTCGGAACAAGTGTTTTCTGGATGTCTGGGATCTCTACTTTGTTACAGCCTGCTAGAGAGTGTAAACTGACCGTCGACTGTCATTTCGCTCGAAGTAGTTTAAGGAAACAAATATGCGCCCTCCTATACAAAATATGACCAATACTCAAATAAAGTTAATTTACATTTGGAGAAAGCCTTGTCTTGGTGAGGACTACGAAGACACGACGACCCTCTCTCATTTCCCCTTGTAGCAAGGCTCAGTCAGCATGTCCAGGAGGTTTTCGAGCTCGCCGTGATGGCTTCGAACAGTCGATCAAAAGGACATAAACGGATTCTCCCACGGTAATATGGCCTATTTTTCTCTAATCCTCAAGGACGAGGATAGGAAAAAAACCTTCAGAAATGAAATCCGCGAGCCGACATAACGGGGAGAGCTCGATTGGCGGAGAGAATGCCAGCAGCAATGGGGCGGTTTGACTGGATGCTCAGAACACGAGTTTTTATTCTCCTCTTTCTCCCCAAAATCCGATATTTTCCTGATGCATTTAACATATGCTTTAGAGAAACGTCTTGTTTTCAGTCCCTTAGGGGAAAATAAAATGATTTTCTACTTTTCCATATTTACCGTATGCGTTCTGTACTGTTTTTCGGTGGTTAATCGTCAGCATTGATGCCCAGAAAATTACCAGATTCAGTTTTTGCCCGTCAGCCATTACTAAAAAATTCTTAGCACAGGACCACTGATAAATAAGTGTCCTGCGAATATAGGCTGTTGGCGCCAAGCTTTTTATCAAAGAAAATTAAGTAAAAGGCTTGTCCAACGGCTGCTGGAACAAACGATCGGAAATTACATTTTGTTCCTATGGGGGCCTGGAGAAGCTCAATTTCATTGGTTTCTGAACGCGGTTCTGAACGGGAAATAGCCAAAACGTGGGTGCAGTGCATGGAAAAGCAAAGCTTTTTAGAGATTTTCGAAACTGTCAGACCGTACGGTGATTAAATTGCAAGCCAAAGCATGTAAAAATAATATCCAGAGGAGAGAACTCTGACTAAAGTATAGATTTTCCCTTAAAAGTCACTTCATCCGTGTGCTGGCCAAGTTGTAACGTTTCTATCTGAAGTTTTGTGAGTTTATTCGACTCGAACGTTCGCGGTGAAATGAATACCAGTTTGTTTAGAAAAGCCGAATTTTCGGAAAACGTCTAAAATAGTTGTAACTATGCAAACTTATATGTACGGAAGGCCTGATAATGTAGCAAAAATAGGATGCGCTTTGACAGTATTTTTTAGTGAAATTTACATTTAAATATCCGGTAGGAATTAATTTAACCTAAGATATGGCGATTTTCCAACAAGCTACACTCTAAATGTAGATGCCAAACGGTCTCCTGAGGATTCGTTGTATTGATTGGGATGCGGTTCAATTTGGCCAACAGGGCTTTGCTTGGTATCACCGATAGGGACGTCATAGGAACAGAAGTTTACATTAGGGCAAATGTTGCCATGGGACCAGTGGCTGATAAACTTAAATGGAATCGACAGATCTGCATAGATGGATACTTTCTTACGTAAAACGAATTTTTACTTGTTCGTCCTAGATTACGCTAAGTTTCATATCGGTATTTAAATATCGCAAAACACTTTATGATTTTAAATTTTTCAATCGGTTTTCCATAGGGACAGATTTTATATCATAGGCTTGTTAGAACCTTTAAAATGAGATACGTCTTGAGGGCATTTACCGAAGTACTGGGCGTGTGAGCGTACTTTTTCGGGTAGAAGGTAGTTTGGGTCACGGTTGAGGACTCACACAAACATGAATCGTCATCGCTGACTAAAATGAGCGCCCATAGGAAAATTCAACAACAAAAATGTCTTAGATCAATTAAAAAACTTTTTCTACTAAGCTGCCTATTTAAGAAGTGCTTTAACACTGCATTCTGCTGATGTTTGTCCGTGTAACTTACATTGTTACATGGTAAAGCCTAATAAATGTGATAAATTTGGCCTTTTGTTTCATGGCTTTTTTAAATATTGCTGTTTTTCTACCGCAAGCGTAAGAATGTGCGTCCATGTTTGCTGTCTTTGCTTACTTTTATGCTTCGTATTGCAATTGTAAATGCAAGGAAGAGTTGTCATATTAATAGTGATATTTTGTCGTAAATGCTAATGTTTCACTCGTTCCATTTATAAATTAAATCGATGCAGAAACTAGACCACACGAAAATTAATCTTCTGTATGTCCAAAACTGAAAATGTCTATGCGGCGATAGCCAACTTGGTGTAAAAACACGGAATTTTCCAAATGGCAGGTAAGGTTTTGCCCACTTACACGAAGAATTGACTGTGCGAGCTACTACTGCACTTTAGGGCACCAACTCGCACAAATGTGCCGACCTTACTTTTAAAAATCTACAAAACATATATTTCTTCAAAAATAACCGTTGTGTCAGCAAAGTGATTTCCACAGTTAGCATCGGACACAAAATTAATTTTTAAGTGTGGCAAGCACTTTTTAGCAAAACTCTCATGCTTAAATTGCTCTCGTCTCAAAGAAAAACACGCTTAGATAAGCAACCGAAGTTTAGGGCAGGTATTAGCATAGGAAAATGCCCGAATACATCGCAGCGATCATTTTTGATTAAACTTATAAACATCTTGCTCGAAAAATTATGCAGTTATATTTTCTGCATAGAAGGGACATTTCATTGAAGCGGCTCCACGAGCAAGCAAAATGCGCAACGTTTAAGGCGTCCGAAAATCCTCAAATCATTTTCTGAAATCAAACTTCCTGGAGTAGGTCACGTACTATGGGTCTATTCTCATAATTCTTGTATGACTTGATGGATTCCCTACCGCGTCCGGCAAACCCAAGGGAGCGAATCCGCAAGAACGATTGACATCGATGCTGAGCGGCCGACTGGCGATAAACCGTAAATAAGTATGCCGGCATCCCTGTCCTTGTCCTTTAGTGGTCGGCAAAAAACGGGTGTTTATGGCACAGAAGGGAACATACAGTAAGTGGGGTAACTCATGAAACGTCAACCGAAATTTCAAAATGCGTCTTCGGTTCGAAAAGATTAATTGAGTAGGGTTGTAGAACAAGTCAGTCTACAAAATAATTCTATAATATTTCGGTTAGCTCAAGATGCCGGCTTTCGAATGAACTTCCATCCGACTGCATTCAGATACTACACTCTGTAAAAAATTACAACTTACGTAGCATGCATTTTTTCGTAACTTTTAGATGCCCTTAAATGTCCAATTATATTTCCTGGAAACAAGCATAAAAATGTTCATTCTTTTTTTCATTCGTTAGATAATTGCGTCGTCTTCCAGTATTACATTCAAAGGAGCGACATCATTCGATTTTAAAAAAGGTTTTCCGATTCCCGAATAATTTTGAACCCGCTCTACCATCACACTTGGATTCAGGGTTTCCAAAATAAAACCGTATATTTTCCGCGTACGGAAAACCACATTTCTCTACGGTAGTAAATGGGGACCATATAGGGTTCATAAAATTAAGCAGTGGATTTGATCCGTATCGTTAACTTTACAAGTCACATTGGTTAATACGGAGACATAACGATTTATGAACGGCCATTTTACGGTATTTAAGTCTCACAATTAGAAACGTTTTAAAAACCAAATTATATCCCTCCTTCGAGTATAAGACTATAAGAAGACGTAATTGTCTATCGAGTGAGCGAAAGAATGAATATTTTTATGCATGCTTTCCATGAAATATAATTGGACATTTAGGGACATCGAAAATAAATGAGAAAATGCATGCTACTTAAGTAGTCATTTTGCAGAGTATTGTTTTCGCATGTAGCCGGAAGGCGCTTCATTCGAAAGCCAACATCCTGAGGTAACTGAAATGTGGTAGAATTATTCTGCACGATGGTCAGTTTTACAATCCTATTTAATTAATCTTTTAGAAACGAAAGCGCATGTCGTAATTTCGACTGACATTTCATGTGTTAGCCCACCTGCTGTAGAGCACGCGAACTAACTCATGAGAGTTGATGACAGAAAGTGATGTGAGAATTTTCGGGAACTTTAAAGCGCATTTTGTCCGCTTGTGCAGCATCTGAAACTTAATGTGGTCCAGGGCACAGAAAAGGGCACATTTACTTCAGGAAATAAAAAGTCTTTTTATATGCATAAAATGGTAGGTTTGCGGTAGCATCTGCCTAATCTATTTAGTCGCCGATCGGCCCGGCAACATATGACCCCAATAAAATTTTCTTATCCCTATGACGTCCCTTTCCACTCAATAAGGCGAAATCCTGTTTGTCTTAGTGAATCGCATCTCATTTCATGCATACAAGGAAAAATACAACGAATTTTAGGAAACCGTTTTGGAATCTATACTCAGCATGTGGACTGCCGGGAAAACCGCCATTCCTGACAATACACTAGTTCATAAAAGGTATTTTAATGTAAACTTCACTAAAAGACTTCTGTTAAACGTGATCTTATTTCTGCCGCAGTATTTACTTAGTCTTTTTGCACGGACAAAAATTCTGAATATCTGAAACTAAAATTTACTCAATCACAACCGTTTTCGACGTTTTCGGAATTTTCTGCTTTTCTAAAAAAGATGGTATTTCTGACGTAATATTGATTTTAATATTTCTTTTATTTTTGCAATTCTCTTAACGTGGCTCTTTAATAATGCCCAGGCGCTGTCAAAGTTAAAAGATTATTTGCATCCCTTGCTTATCTCAGCTTTTCTGCAAAACTGCTTGCACCGAACTGATCCCCTTTAAAGGTAGACCTGACCCGCTACCAGTTTGAGGTTTCTTACTGCCACAGTAAAGACCTCCAATACAGTACCTTCAATATCTGTTTCGGAAAAAGCAAAACTTTGAGTTGACTGCCTGTTTTGGATATTGGCATTCTGGGTAAGAGTATGGTTTGTACGCGGGATAGGCCTACAAGACTGACTATTTCATTTACTTAAGTAGACGTTGTTAGATTACTTTTTTGCCGTGTACCACTTCGGCTTGGTCTACGCAATTCACCGACTTGTGTTATTGATATTGCAAACAATCGCCCCGAGAACCAGGCGCCAAAATGATGCCTATATTATTATGCTCCTCACCCCGCACGTGTTAGATGTCATGCAAAAGGTTTGTCCGAACTCAACGGCTGAGAGAATTGGTTGTTGCGTACCAGTTCCATGGGGCTTATCAATTGCTCGGCTGCTTCATGGGGTACACCTCCGCCATGTGGACAGCAAAGTTTTCCATGCTTGTTTTAGGTCGGCGTTGTTTACTGCAAACCACTAAACGATATTGCATCTCGTCAATGTAGGCCCAGACAGCTCGATCTGACACAGGGCTTCTATTACGTAATCTTCTAGGTTTCGTCAATATTGCACCAAATAATCAGAATTCAGTATTTCAATACTCTCCTCAACTTCCGATGGTATGTCCCTTTGAGGTTGCCTGCGACCTACAGTTTGC